TGCCGCAGTGGCACTGAAGGCAGTGGAGGAGGGAAAGGTGGCTGGCAGTCAGCTGCCGCAGTGGGCACTGAAGGCAGTGGAGGAGGGAAAGGTGGCCCGTTCTTGAGGGGCTCACTAGAGAGGGAGGGAGGGAGCGCGGCCGGTGCCAGGGTCAAGTTCCCACTATCAGTGTGACCAGAAGGTTTTGGAACTTGGAGAACTGGACAACTGACCTAGTAGAGCAGTGGTTCTCAACCTTCTAAGACCCACAACCCTTTTCATACAGTTCCTCATGTGGGGGTGACCCCCAACCATAAAATTGTTTTCATTGCTACTTCGTAACTGTAAGTTTGCTACTGTGATGACTTGTAATGTAAATATCTGATATGCAGGATGTATTAGGCGACCCTTATGAAAGGGTCGTTCGACCCCCAAAGGGGTCACGATCCACAGGCTATGTTAAAGGTTTCTTTTTTTAAACCAACTCTGTATTACATCTTAAGTCATTCTGTTGAGAGGGCATATCCACTTGCTAAACTTAAAATCATAAAATGATTAGCTTCTGCTAAATAGATGTAATTTGGTAATATCTTGGGTACTACAGTGCCATGCAGGCTCCTTAAGTTACAATCTGGTTTGTCAGACTCAGATAAAAACCACTATGTTTCATGAGATAAATATGTAATTATGAACTAAAATGTTAGCAAAATAGCAGTATTCAAAGATAAGCCAAAATGGATTGCTATAAAATCATAGAGACTCTTATTAAGCAAAAATATACAAAGACGAGTCTATTTTTTTGGGACACGTGCTCCAGTTAGGTCTGCACCCTTCCGAGGGCAGCGTGTGCCTCTCTCTCACCCTTCCCTGGAGAATCCTGGACTCTTTCAGTCACACCATGTCAAAATGAGCTATGGCATCCTGCAGGGACACCAATTCTGCTAATCTTAACTGTCCTTGGAGTTTGGGGAACAAAAAGAAGTCTGAAGGGGCAGACTCAGGGCTGTAGGGTGGGGGGATAGGGTTTGGCAGCACAATTCTTGTTAGGACAGCTCTGTTTACCCTGAAAGAGTGAGCGGGCAGGCACATTGTCATGTTGGGATACGACTCCTCAGTGCATCCCTCCTGCTCGTCTTCTCGTGTATCCAGTTCTCCATTTACTCCAGACGCCTTCCAGTTAGGCCCCTGATCAATCTGGGTCCTTTGAGAAACCTTCCAGAGATCTCTCCTTTGAGGTTCCAAGGTCAGTTGCCGTAACCCCATGCTAGCTGGCCCCATGCTAGCAGATCCCTCCAGAAGCCGCTGCTTTGACTAGACCTCATTTCTGAAGCATTCTCCTATTGAGACCGAGACAAGCGCTTTACTGAGAACATGTCCACGGCCGTCACTCACCACTGAGACGTGTCTGGCCCGAGCGTGTGCGTGTTTGAACTGGAACCGAGTAGCTTTTTTTTTTTTTAACTTATCTTTGGATATACAACAACTTGCTCTTAAAAAAAAAGAGCTCTTTTGATTAAAAACGGCTAATACAGTAATTTCAAAATTAGATAGTTTTTATATAATCCTAATGTTATAGGAAAGAAGGCTTGGTACATCCAAGTGGTTCTTACTAGTTTTGTGAGCTAACTGATTTCTCACACTGATTGACTCGGATAGAGCGTGCTCAGTTCCAGTGTGGGTGTGTGAGAAGGACCGCCGATTTTCAGTGATTTCAACCTGCACCTTTTCCACCGTTTTACATTTGAACGTTGGGCGCTGCTGATTATCGGGAGTAGCGTCCGACAGTTAGCAGGGGCAGCGTTTGCTTTCCTGTTGGCGCCCAAAGCAATGGTGCATCTTTGTCAGTCGGGGCTTTTGATTCTGTAATAAGTTTGTTACGTACAAAAGTAGAAGTCTTGCTGTGTCCTTTGTTAAATCATTTTAAACTATTGCTTCAACGGAAGGGCATTATGTAATAGCTTTAGTTATTGTTCGTTGTATCTCCGACTTGCCAGTTTTGCTTACTTGGCACTCATCAGGCGTTTTTCCTTTTCCAATTAGTATATGGCAAGCCTGTCATCGCTGCTGCCCAAAACCAGCAGCAGCACCCGGAGAACATTTACTCCAGTCACCAGGGCAAGCCTGCCAGTCCGGAACCCGAGACCGAGCCTGCTGCGGCTGGTCCGGAGAACCACGAGCAAGAAAGAATCCCTCGCCCACTCAGCCCAACCAAGTTGCTGCCTTTCTTGTCGCATCCTTACCGAAACCAGAGCGACGCCGACTTAGAAGCCCTACGCAAGAAGCTGTCGAATGCTCCCCGGCCACTGAAGAAGCGCAGCTCGATCACGGAGCCCGAGGGTCCGAATGGGCCAAACATTCAGAAACTTCTCTATCAGCGGACCACCATAGCTGCTATGGAGACCATCTCGGTCCCCTCATACCCGCCCACTAAGTCCACTGCCGGCACTGCCAGCTCCGAGAGCCCCGCCGAGATCCCGAATCCTTACTTACACGTGGAGCCAGAGAAGGAGGTGGTCTCTCTGGCTCCTGAACAAGTGTCCCCAGAGGAAGCAGGGAGTGCCAGTACCGAGAGCAGTGACATGCCAGCTCCTGCTCCGGGATGTGACTATTTGTCTGAAGGGGTCTCGGACTGCAGCCCGAATCTGCAGATTAACTTAGAGGCACCAAATCCAGAGGCCCCCCATCTGCTAGAAGTGTATCTGGAGGAGTACCCCCCGTACCCACCCCCGCCGTACCCATCTGGGGAGTCTGAGGGGCCGGGAGAAGACGCAGTGAGCATGCGCCCACCCGAGATCACAGGGCAGGTTTCCCTGCCACCAGTAAGTAACGCGGATGGGGTCTTGTGGTCTCTCCAGGAGCCTTTTGCCTGGTCTGCTCTTCCAGGTGGTCAGTCCTCAACTGGAGACACCCGCAAGAAGTTAACTTACTGCTAGTTAGAAAGAATGGCTTATGTCCAAATTGTCTAGAACAGCAAAAGCATTCTACAGTTCACCGTCTTGTTTTAAAATTCCCTTGGTATAGATTGGATCTGTCTTACAAATGCCAGGAAAAGTTTGTATATTCAGGATAAAGAATGGCCTTGTGTTTCCTTCTCAAAGAAACGGAATTTTCTTCTTTGAAGTCCCACCCCTGCTGTCTGTTTTGAGCTGATGTGGCCCACAGTAGGGAAGCAGCACTAGACGAGGAGCGACAGGACCTGGCTGGCTCTGAAACTCCTAATCTCTAGCCCAGCTGGGGGATGCCAGCCAGATAGTGCCACTTGTCTCACTCGACTGGTCACTCTTTTTTTTCAGACTTCTCTTTCTCTTGCAGAGGTATTTGTTTTGAATGACCTAGTAAGGTATAACCTTAATCTTAGACTGGTGATACAATTGGAAGGGTGGAGGCAGGGGGCAGGGTAACTGGGCCAGAGGTAGTGTGTGCACTGCCTCCGCACCTTCGGCATAGTGGGACAGTCTCTGGATAACATGGCAGTCCCTTGGGCTGCTTTGTACAGCGACTTCCAGTTCCAAAATTTTGCCTGTTTGACTTGGCATGCTTTCCATTCTCCTTCCAAATACTATCGTTTTTACCTCCTTGAAGTTCAGCATGCCTCTGAAACAGGTGACCGGCTCCGAACTCGAGCTCACTGCTATCCAGTCAGTTCTGACTCATTGTGACCCTTTGGACCGGGTAGAACTGCCCGCGAGTTTCCGGTACTCGTTAGGGGAGTAGAAAGCCCTTTCTCCCTTGGAGTAGAAAGCTGGTGGTTTCAAACTGCTGACCTTTCGGTTAGCAGCCCAACGTGTAACCACGATGACATCAGGGCTCCTTTGAAATAGGTAATAGGAAATAAAAATTCTAGAATAACTTTAAATAAAATCCGTATTTCCCGAGTTGAATTTTCAGGTCATTTTGTTTCAGTAAGCACGAAAAGGTTCAGGATCCTTATTGATTAAAAACAACAACAACGATAAACAGCATTTTTTAAAAAGGATAAAATTGCTCAACTGTGGACACTCAGCTCTTTGCATTCTTGAGGGTGAGATTGGTATTCAAAGATAGCAGTTGTTCTAGGTTACGTCAGCTTTTGTACTTCTAGGAAACATTTGCTTTCACGTTTCCTACCGTAAACATTTGAGGAAAGGAACGAGGGATCTGGAGGCAGAGGTTAGCACTTTTGAAAGGCCTTTGTGCCTCCTGAACCTTGAAGCCGGTTCCACGTGAGAAAAGGAGGCAGCCTGAAGCCAGGCTGGCGCAAACCAGTCCACACGCCAGCTACTCATGGTATTTATTACCCGGCCTCCTGCTTCGCTGGGTCAGAGTTTTTTCATACGTCCAAGGAGAATCATGGAAACCATAGTTCGTGAGAGTATCGGTCATACTTTGTTTCATTCTTAGAAAGGTGACTTTCCTCTTTCAGAGTGGGCACCACAGGTGTTCTTGCCCCGTCCTGCTCCCCAATTGTATTCCCTGCAATTGCTTAAGGTTTGCAGACAGCCCTCTCCCTAAGGACCATTTTAATCACTGCCAGCATTATAAACCATATTGTGTGCCTCTAACACAATGGTTCTCAACCTTCCTAATGCCGCGACCCTTTCATACAGTTCCTCATGTTGTGATGACCCCCCCAACCATCAAATGATTTTCGTTGCTACTCCATCACTGTAATTTTGCTACTGTTATGAATTGGGCGACCCTTGCGAAAGGGTTGTTTGACCCCCAAAGGCATTGCTACCCACAGCTTGAGAACCGCTGCCCTAAAGTCTTTTAATTGGCAGTTTTCTACATGAGAAGTAAACTGAGCCGTATGGGTGGCGTGTGACACCCTTGGGAATATTTCCACGTTGCTGACATGTTTCAGAAACCCGTTTCATAAGGAGGGTAGAGCGCTTGTTAATTCTTGCCTTTGTTTTTAGCCTGCCTTCCTGGAATACAGAAAGCTATGATGGCCTACGTTTGTATTTGTTTCAGTAGAATGAAGTGTGTAAAATAGTGGGAACACTCCAAGAGTGGGAAGGATCTGCTGGGTATATCTAAGAGGGACTTTCCCTCTGCTGTATCATGTGAACAGCACTTTCCCATGAGGAGGAGGCACCTTGGAGTGGAATGGTTAAGAGCTCTGACTTCTGAGAATCTGATTCTAGCGCTGTCATTTTCTGGCTATGCGCTTGAGTCCCCCACCTGTAAAGGGGAGATAATGGAGTTTTTGTGAGGATTAAATGAATAAGCATTCAATAAATACTAGCCATTGTAATCCTGAGTTGTACTCTCACCCAAGTTAAGACTGTGGGATTTGTTATCCTATAGGAGATAGGTAATTTAAAGATCATTCTTGGCAAGTTTTTCTACTTGACAGAAAGCCAGCCTCCTTGCCACACCAGATTACAGCCATTGTGGCTGTAATGGAAGGCGTGCTTGGTGGGTCAAACCCACCAGCTGTGTTGGAGAGCGCTGTGGCAGGCGTCTTCCCTAACAACTGCAGCCCTGGAAGCCCCAGGCGCGGGGTGATTTTACTGTGCGCCTGACGGCTCACTCTGAATGGGAATCCATGGCAACAGGGTTTGGGTTTTTCTTCTTGGCATATGATAATGCTTCCCATAAGCCTTATTTTATTAGGGCTTCTAAAGTTAACTTTATCCCACTTTGCTACATGAATGTGTTTATGAAGTTTTATTGGGCAGAATCCTCGGGTTTGGGTACTTTGTGGATATGCTTATGTTGGAAAGATTCCTTTCCATCGAACTCACGACTCCCCGTTAGTTTTTGTGTGGCTGTTCCCTTCTGTGTAAGTCAGGACCCTAAATGTTCCACACACTTCCTCTCTTGCAGGGCAAAAGGACAAACTTACGCAAGACAGGCTCAGAACGGATTGCTCATGGGATGAGGGTGAAGTTCAACCCTCTGGCTTTACTTCTAGATTCATCTTTGGAAGGAGAATTTGATCTTGTGCAGAGAATTATATATGAGGTACAATTGTAATTGAAGAATTTTTAAAAAGACCTTATGTTTTGTTTTAAATATCTCAGAAAACTATTCAGGAGAAGTTGCATTTTTAAGTAGTTTTCTTTTGGAGGATTGGCTTGGAGTAGTGAACTCTTATGCATGTTTCGAAACAGACTATTCTATTTTAAAGGTGTGACTACAAACATGCTGACAGTGCAGAATGCAATCCCTCCTGCAGGCTCTCTGGTACACCCTTCTTTCTTAGGAAGATGGCTAGCTCACTTTAAAAAGCTCCTACCTAGACTTGTGCTGTGGAGTATTAAATTACAGGTGTGGCCCTACTTTTCCGAAGCCTACTATTTAAAATATTTTTAGTTGCCCTTTTTTCCTTCCCACGGGAAATGTAGATTCTACTTAAAAGCTAATTTGTGGTAGGAAGTTGGGAGGATAAAGTAACAAAGATGGCTTTAAGAAGATAGTCCCTGGTATGGCCATTCAAATAAAAATAAAACCAAGAATTTTTATAGTGAGCACCTACTTAACGTGGCTCTTCTGTCTACTCTAAAAAAATTTTTTTAGGGGGTGGGGTACAATTTTCTTGGCTCATGTAGATTTTAATTATGATTTAAAAAAAAAACAAACCCTTCTGTTGTTTTGACCATAAGGAGCCAGTTTGTAGTGACAGTGCAGGTGACAAGAAATGTGATGATGCTCGCTTTCGTGTTTCTGTTACAGGTTGACGACCCGAGCCTGCCCAATGACGAAGGCATCACGGCCCTTCACAACGCTGTGTGTGCGGGCCACACAGAGATCGTCAAGTTCCTGGTGCAGTTTGGTGTGAATGTCAATGCTGCTGATAGTGACGGATGGTAAGATGTTTCACTTGTGGGTGTGCACATCAGCTCGGCATAAGCCATGCGTGGGGGCATTGGAGGGCCAGAAGCCCATCTCTACAGGTTCTCAGGCTGCTGTGTAACCCAGCCGTGGGATGGGGCATGCCACTTATCTTCATGTGATAGGCACCCATTCTAGCAGGAAGTAGAGTTTTTTAAAAGTTCCTGGTTGTTGTTAGGTGCCACCGAGTTGGTTATGACCCATAGCGACCCCTTGCACCGCGGAACAAAAGGCTGCGCCACCCTGGGCCGTCCTCCCCTGGCTCCTGTGCCCGAGCCGTTGTTGCCGCTGCCGAGCCCGTCCACGCCCTTGAAGGCCGCCCTCCTTTTGGCTGCACCTCCACTTCACCGAGCATGCGCTCCTTTTCTAGGAACTGGAATTTAGTTTAGTTAAAGGATTTTAAAAATAAGGAAATTAATGTACAGGTTAATTAGCATCTTCACACAGATTTGACAAGGGCTGGTTTATGCAAGGTTTCCCTAACCCCTCTGGAACTTTCCAGTGTCTGTAATACACAGCAAACCCTACAGCAGCTGGGTCCAGTGTAAGGTGGAAACCTGTTTCGGGGAAGGAAAACTCAAATCTCTCTGCCCTGTCAAAGGTGGAAGACTTGGGAAACCAGAGTTCTTTTCTACCACTCGCTCTGCTTTTTAGCTAGGCTCTCTACTTCACTGCAGTGGCCTCACAGCACTCCCGATGGTAGGGTTTATTGTGGAAGGTAACAGGTTGCAATTCAGGTGGAAATGTTCGGGATGGAGTTGTTCTCTCAGGGCTGCTAGTAAATGCCCAAAGGACATGCCATCCCACTCCACCATAAGCACTCAGCTCCAGCTCCCTGGGTCAGCAGAGCCAGCTTTGCCAACTAAGTACCCAGGGGCACCCCACTCCACAAGCCAGCCTTCTGCCCCAAAGCACTCAGCTTTATTTACTCCGTGGGCTGGGAAGTCCACCACTCTGTCTCATGCTCCGGCTCTTGGTGCTGCTGCTGCTGCTCCTCCTATACATACCTTGGATGTTGTAGCTGTCTTCTGGATCAAGGAGGTTCACTGTGCAAATGATACGCTCCACTCCTGGCTCACACTGATCGTGAAGCACCCCTGCTTCCGAGAAGCCCATTTTGTATGTAGTAAATGGCAATCACAATGAATCCTGTCAGTATCGCCTTCCACTTTTTTTCAGACCCATCAGGAAAAGGTCATTTGCTGGGAGTTACAGACAATGGCTAGAAGAGCCACGTTAAATAGTTTGTTGCCCTGCATCTGGGCAGACAAGCAGTTGAGTTCAGGCGTTGACAAGCTTCATTGTATTAATGTTTAATGTTCATTATGTCTTTCCCCAAGAGGGCGTTACACTTTATAACCTTTTCCCAAGTACATTTGACTGCAGGATCTGTTGAATTGCACCCACATAGAGAACCTGGCACAGTGGGTTGAGCATGGGGCTGTTAACTAGAAGGCTGGAGGTTCTAGGCCACCAGCTGCTTCTCAGGAGAATGATGCAGCCGCCTGCTCCTGTAAAGATTCACAGCCTCAGAGTCATCTGCAGGCCTGCTCTCAGCTGGAGTCTTGACGGCAGTTGGCTTGGTTTTGGAATCACATTTACAATGTAGTATTTTACGCTTTTATGGCCTGCTTTTCTCTTACCACGAACAATAGTTATTATGTAGTAGCATTTTCATACGTGTGTATACATATATATATGAAAATTACATGAGTGCACATACTCAGATTTAAAATAGCCTCATTATTCCATCAAGTGCATCACACCCATTTGCTGTGACCTCCATACAGCATCTGTTCATTATTCTCCAATTTTGTTGTTGTTGCTGTAAGACTTGGAGAACATTTTGCCTGCTTTTTAAGAAACTTATGTTTACAAAAATAAAGTGTGTCCACTGTGGAAATGTAAGAAAAAGAGGAAAACCAGCCACCTGTTCTCCTACAGTCTGGGAGTGAACACCATTAGTGTTTCAATCTACCTCCTTCCTGCTCTTTTTTCACATGCTGTAAACAGGTCGCTGAGCTTACCATAGGAACATTTTGTAGCCTAACTTCCTGGTTTAGCAAAAGCATAAGCAAGGCATATTCTAAATGTGTTTTATTGTTCTTGCGTCTCTAATATGGGGAACATAGACTGCTTATAATTTTCACCGTAAAAGCCAGGCAGTGAGAACATGTGTAATTATCATGCCCAGACTACTAAGAGTGGGGTCTGGACTGGGGCCTGGGCCCGGCTTGTACTTCAGATCTTTTTGTGACACGCGGATTTTTTGATGAGCATGCAGTTTTCCCAAGAATGCGAAAAGAACAGTGAATAGCTTCATGACTGGAATCTTCCTAGCACTTAGACTTTCTCTTCTCCGAGTGTGTTAGAGAGCGAGGCAGCGTGGGCTCTCTGCTGCTGGCGTGGCCATTGAGTTGATGCTGGGTCCTCTGTACCAGAGTGGAACTCGTGCAGTGTTTCCAAGGCCTGCATTTTGAGAAGGTGGCCATCCAAGTAATGAGCCCTTCAAGTGATAGCTAGAATATGTTCCCGTTACGGCACCGACAGTGTTATCTCAATGGGATTTGACATACGGTGTACTGGGTAGGAATACAGTGAATCAGGTTGACCTTGACCTCTAATGGGCAGGACTTAGCGCTAGTGTTCTTTATAACTTCCCACCCCACCCCACCCTTTTAATAAACGCACTCAGTGCTTGGTTTGCCAATTTTTCTTTTATCTTAGAAGCATGAGTGCCCAAGGGGCATCAGTGGAGGGGAAGAGGGGACAAGGGGAGAAAACCTGTCTCAACACACTACAGGGCCTGATGAGCATTCTCAGACCCACCTTCTGGGCCCGGGCATTGGGACTGACTTTTCTGACATCTAAACATTTGATCTACAGTCACTTCTGAAATAGCTCATTCAAAAACATTTGAAACGCCAGGGAAGACTTCCTTTGCAGGTATTCATAGGCTCCTGTTAAGAGCCCTGGTGGTGTAGTGGTTATACATTGAGCTGCAATCCACATAGTTGGCAGTTCGAAACCACTGGCAGCACCAAGGGAGAAACACTTAGTGTCTCGGAAACCCACGGGGTCTCTATGAGTTAGCATTGACTTTGTTTTTGGGTTAACCAGTTGCTTAAAATAGACCCAAATGTGTGTATTTTAAAGTCACTTTTCTAGCTTGGATAAAATTGAGAATCTTTACAATGAAATGTATTTCCATTTGTATCTTTAAAAATAGGTGCACAAGGCAATTCTTGTGTGGGATTTAATTCCTTTAGACTTGGTGTGCTGATAGAGGGATGTTCAAGGCACCTGGCTTGAGTGAAGGCCTCTAATGTGAAGGACTGTTTGGTAATGAGGACGACTCGGCTTCTGTGCTCCAGACTGTAGACCTGTACTTACTGCTGGGCCCTCCCATTCTTCGTAATTACTGCAGTCATTCTGCCCTCTCTGCCAGCGTAGTGGTGGCTATAGCTCATCCTTTGATGAGTTCAAGTATTCTTGTTAATTCAGAGGTTCCCAAACTTATTTGGCCTACCACCTCTTCTCAGGGGAAAAGAAAAATCCCTCAGCATCCCCCTGGCAATGAAAAACCGTTGTTGTATAGCCCACAGTCCAGGATAAAGTGTAGGTATCTGCTTTTGCAGCCCCACTGGATTGCTGCAGTGCCCACAGCCCAGTCGACAGTACGGCCCACTCTGGGAGCCACTGGCCTAAGTGGTTAGGGAGCAACCATAACAACATAGCAACTGTTGAGGTTTTCCGAGGAAAGAGTAGAAGAGGTGCATTTAACACTGGGCCTGTGGGATCTGTAGTACATCAGGTGATAGCAAATAACGTTCTCTCTGTTTTAAACAACCCCACAGTTTCCATACGTACAGTTCAGTGAGCGACGCTGGTTCCGTTCTTGTTGTGCTGTCCTGACCAGCCTCCGTTTCTTAGCTGTTTTCCCACCATTAATACGCGCACCTAGTGCCCTCCTCAGGTTCCCATGTCCTCTTTGGGGTGGCTGCTCTGTCTGGTCCCACGCAGACAAGGCTTCACACACCACTGTCTGGTCCCATGCAGACAGGGCTTCACACACCACTGCACTCCAGGCAAGCGCTCCTTCCTACTTAGGCTGAACTATTGTCTGATGTTTCGCCTGACCTAGGGGCTTTTTCTGGCTACAGGTGTAAGCAGTGTTCTTTGCAGCAGGTGCCGTCCACTCGATACCAACCTCTCCGGCTCTTGCCTTGTTTCCTTCCCCAGGACCCCCCTGCACTGTGCGGCCTCGTGTAACAACGTCCAGGTGTGCAAGTTCCTGGTGGAGTCCGGAGCGGCGGTGTTTGCCATGACCTACAGTGACCTGCAGACTGCGGCGGACAAGTGCGAGGAGATGGAGGAGGGCTACACGCAGTGCTCCCAGTTCCTCTATGGTACGTGCCAGTGGGATCGGGTCTCACCATGTGCCCGTCGGCCCGAGCTCCCGAGGCTGTCGCCGCCGCATAAGCATGTTTGTTGTTCAGAATCAAGCTTTTGTGTTAGGCATTGAAAGTAGAGCCGCCTCGGCCGTAAATATGAATGCGGCTTTTGTGTTCACGCCTAGAAATCGCCACTGTCAGGGCCCGGCACGCCCGGCCACAAAGGACAGTGGATGCAGCTTCTGACCTCGTGTGCTGCTGGCCTCTGGCCACCAGCAGCAGCTCCTCTGCCGGCGCTGAGTGGGGGATGGCACCTCTCCGGGGGTTTCTAAAAGTTCCCAGAGATATCTTTGAATTCCAATTTTCCACAAGGTTCTTGAAGCCCCCTTTGCAGGTGATTCTCGGGAAACGCAGTCCACTCTCAAAACCCAAGTGACTCAGGTTTACCTGCCCAGGTACACTTGTTATGTGTTGCTCTTTGGGTTTCCTGATTGTGAGTTCGTGGTTCTGATGGATCACATCAGCTCCGACCCGGAGAAAAGGGCTGCAGTTCTGGACTGGGCTTTTTACCTGCAAGGACTTTTTTCTGTTACTTGGAAGGCCGAGAGGTAAGGGTAGCTAACGCTGGGGGACTCTGCCTCTGGAGCCCCGTTTCAGGCTCGTGGCAAGAAGGGAGAGAGCCCGGGCAGGACACACCACCCGCCGCTTCGCCGGCCTCAGCCGTCGGTTCCTGTGGTTGATGTGGGTGATGACTGCTCTAGCTCTGAACTCGACGTCTGATGCCTTACATCGTGGTTTCAGTGGTAGGATTTAAAACGTAACAGCTGGTCTGGTTCCTGCCCCAATGACCATTTTAAGTATAACAAACCGATAAGAGGGAGGGGGGGTTGGGGAGGGGTGAGCTGATACCAAGGGCTCAAGTAGAAAGAAAATACTATGAAAATTGATGATGGCAACATATGTACAAATATGCTTGACAACAATGGATGGATATTGTGATAAGAGCTGTACGAGCCCCCAATAAAATGATTTAAAAGCAAACAAACCAATAGACCGAAAAGTAGTTTATTCTTTCATACAGTTAATGCTCAAATAAGAACAGCAAAAGAGGCACACAAAACTAGATTATGTTATAAGAAAGGCTTTTAAAGTAGTAAGGAAAAGAATGTTAAATAATACATGCCAAAAGGCAATACAACGGTCATTTAAGGTATTTCCATATTGCTTTTTAAAAAATACATATAATTTTAACAAATCAATTTACTGGGGGCTCTTACAGCTCTTGTAACAATCCATACATCAATTGTAGCAAGCACATTTGTACATATGCTTCCCACTATCATTTCCAAAACATTTTCTTTCTACTTGGCCCTTGGTATCAGCTCCTCTTTTTCCACACCCTCCCCCCCCCATAAATCCTTGATCATTTATCAATTATTTTCATATTTTGCACCATCCACTGTCTCCCTTCACTCACTGTTGTTTGTCCCCCTGGGAGGGGTGGGGTTTGTACTTCGATCATTGAGACTGGTTCCCTCTTTCTCCCCCTTCTCCCCCCACCTTCCTCTTACCCTCATGGTATCGATACTCTCATTATTGGCCCTGAGAGGTTTATCTGCCCTGGACTCCGTGTGTCCGAGAGCTCTTACTGTACCAGTGTGCATGCTCTGGTCTAGCCAGATTTATAAGGTAGAATTGGGGTCATGATAGTGGGTGGAGAAGCATCAAAGAACTAGAGGAAAATTGTGTGTTTCATTGGTGCTATGCAGCACCCTGGCTGGCTTGTCCCTTCCTTGTGACCCTTCTGTGAGGGGATGTCCGATTGTTACAGATGGGTTTGGGGTCTCCACTCTAACTCCCCTTGTTCGCGTAGAAATGGTTGGTTGTTTGGGGTCTTCTGATCCCTGATACCCAATCCCATCGACACCTCCTGATCACATAGGCTGGTGTGCTTCTTCCATGTGGGCTTTGTTACTTCCCTGCTAGATAGCCCCTTGTTTAACTTCAAGCCTTTAAGACCCCAGATGCTATACTATATCTTGTAATAGCCAGGTACCATTAGCTTTCGTCACCACATTAGCTTATGCAACCATTTTGTCTTCAGCAATTGTGTTGGAAAGGTGAGCATCACAGAATTCCAGGTTATTCAAATAAAGTGTTCTTCCATTGAGGGAGAACTTGGGTAGAGGCCCAATGTCTGTCTGCTACCTTATTGCTTACCCTATAAATATATGTACATAGACCTATATCCCTATCATTATATATTAATATATTTACATATATACATGCCTATATTTATACTTCTATAAATGTCTTTTGCCTTCTAGTTCTTTCCTCTATTTCCTTTTACTTTGCTCCTACCCCACCATCATGTTCCACCTTCAGGTGGCTCTCTACTTCCTCTCAGCTACATTGCATGTGATCAAACCCCACTGGGCATTCTGTGCAGTCCTTGCCATTGATTTTAGATCTCCTGTTGTTCCTTTGTCCTGTTGTTCCTTCTGGGTTTGTATACACCCCCCACCCCCAGTCTTCTTGGAACTGTCGGCCCTGTTGTTTTCTCCTCAAGATTGTTTATCCTGCCTGTCTTATATGGCTACACATGGCGGGGCCGGAGAGCCTATGAATCGTTCCAGGTCTGTCTGCTGACCTTAATGAATGTTTTCCCGTTGAGTCTGATGCAGTGCCAAGCCCTGCCCCCATGTCCGAAGTCTGTTTTCAGATTTCCTCGGGGACTTTGTTGCTTTGCTGCTCTGTTGCGCTCCCTTCATGTTACACCCGTGTGTGTGTG